TGTGTCACGGCTTTCCTTATTACGCTTGAATTTCTTTTGCGCGAAGACTGATGTTGGAAAGACGGAACAATCCGTTCAAGGTTTTGGTTCTTCTCTTAGCTATGCGAGATGCTATGACGTGAGGCCATGAGTTGGACAGAATACGGGTGTTCGTCCTCTAACTAATCGGTGCTAGACAAGCTATATCCTTGGGATTTTAAACGTTAGAGAGGCTCCTCTTGCTGGAAGTGACACTTGTGAGAGTTGCTAGGTGTTAAATAGTTTGAGTTCGCTGGGAAAGTTGGAATGTCGAATAGTGACTGACAGGTTTCGTAGTATCATGATTCATCTAATAGGGTTATGGTAGGCCTAATCTGATGTCGACCTCTGTATTCACAAAAAATGAACAATGATGTTATCGGATTTTTTATCTTTGGTAGCGAAGCCGCTGACAGACAAACGTACTCTATGTTTTCGGTGAAATGGGCTGGTGGACAGACTTTGTAATAATACCTATTGAAGCTGGGGTGGAATTCTACTCTTTGAGTTAATTAAAAACCCATTATGCTCAACGGTTTCAGCCATGTTTTTAATAGTGGTTCCAAAGATGAGTATGATTCCTATATGCAGGATTGAAGAGGATGAGTCGGGAGAGAAGAAACTATTTTGTGGGAGTTATAAGGCTTAATCCAACAAATTGTTGCTGCATTGCGTGTTTCAAGCAAACTCTCTATTTCGTGGATGCAATGAGTGGGGAACTGTAGTAGCCCATTCACATGAGGTTAAGCCAAGTCCGGTGATGTCCTTGAAGTGTTGAAAAATGGTTTTTACACACATTTCATCTTTGGGAGCTGCAGATGTCTATTGACAAGCTTGCTGACATGAGGGAAAGGATAGAAAGGATACCAAACTCTTTTGTTTAACCAAAGCTGAATAACAGGACTTTTGTAGAAACATGGCAAGGCTTTTGTTCTCCCACGGTTCTGGCAGCCAATATTATGGAGCTCTAAATCGAGAGTGTTTTCTCATGTTAACCTTGGTAAGCAAAGGACTCAGTTCATCTTTGATAGTGCTTTACTCATCTCTTAGTGTCCCCCCCCCCCTCTCCAGGTTGCGTTTGAAAATATTTGGGTGGAGCGCTATAGGTCAATGCAGTGTATTTTATTGTATCGGGACAGCTTTGGAGTAATTCTGTGGCTTGATTGTGACATTACCATTGGATAGCACCCAAGGTGGGATAATGCTTTCAATATTACTAAGCTTCTTCCTTGATTGATTTATGATGAATTGTCATCTTTGAGGGGCTATCCTGGTATTCAGAATATGCAGAATTTTAAATATAGAGAAATGTGGAACATGCAGCCGTGTTTTCGATGAGGAGCTCAATTGTAAGTTTCCGCATTTTGAGTCTATTTGTCACTACTTATAGAAGCATACAATATGTGTGTGATGTTTCTGTATATAGGTGTATAGGTTTCATAATTGTTATTACTAAAAAAATTTTTACGAGATTTGAAGGGAGATAGTTAGTTCTTCTCTTTTTTCATTAGGAGGCGGCTTCCATTATATTTATAATTGTTTTGTTCTTTTTAGTTTGAGGAATGCAATGCAAATTCGTGCATCTTTCTCCCTTCTCACGCTACACCCCTGGTCAATTAAATCTCATTAACAGATTCAATAATCTCCACTGACATTAAATACTTCACTGAGGTTTAGCCAACCGAGAACATCCTATTCCGCATTTAATAACTTATAACTCACTCAGAAGTTCGACAACTTCAACAATATCTCAATATCTAGTCCATAAGACAAACAATCATCCAAAAATTACCCCCCCCTAGACAACGTATTAACCCTTGATATCTATTCCCTAATAGTTGGATTCCTGCTTTGTTCACAAAAATCTTCTTAATAGACATGGTTTACCAAAAATACATGCGTCTCATATTTGTTTCAAGACACAATGACTAGCTTTTTAGTTCGCAACGTCTGAACCTGAAGACTGATGAGGAACGCAAATCGGCCTATCCCACTACACCCGAAACGCCAAAAACCCTTCTTGGTGAGTTGATCAGCACTGATCGAGGAGAGCATAATGATGAAACTTATACTCAGAGAGTCTTAATTTGGAATTTGTTACAACGGTAACTGACGAAATACTTTTTCAATTATTCATATATTTAATCTTCTGAACACCAAGATCTTGGACAACCGTAGCCATAATCAACTAAAAACACAGCCAAGATAAACGCAGCTCAGATCTATAAAATAGAATTATTCAAATCAATCAAGTCACACACCTAGCCAGCGGCATAAAGTGCGACCTAGAAAATCATCCCAAATCATCTAAAGGCAACCACAGCCTTTGAATTATATGGAGCACATATGTCCTTTGAAAGCCCTAGTTTCCCTCACTACAATCGAGCAAAGCATAATTCACGTGTACATTCGACTAGTCGCACCCCAGACTAAATGATACATAGATGGCTAGCAACAATCCCTTTAATGAGTGTATAACATCATCATAGCAATAAAATACAAAAGTACAAATGAACATACGCGTTTGCCTTATTAATCACTTTGCTCCGATCCGAAGCACCTAAAATCTTCGAAGAATGAAAACTTAATCTATTTCTTGAAGTCTCTTTGGCATATATACCTGACCTGCCCCAAAACGAACCTAATGTGTAAAAAGACCCAAGACGTTATGGAGACAGAAGAGAGGTCGCCCACCACTGATAGGAACACCAACTACTTAAATTCTGATGAAATGAATCAACATGCTCAGTAACATGACATGAACAGTGGGTGATAAGGGCATCCTTGCCCGGAGGATGCCTACATCTTGCTAGTAACGCTGATCCGTAACTGAACTCATGCTCTATTATAAGAATGGAAACTTTGGTTTGAATCATAATAGCACCCAAAATGAATTCTAGGAGGAGAATCACAACTATTCAACCTATACAAATTTCCAAATCTTCACAGTATTATTCTCTTAACCTTAGTCTTCCACATTATCTACTTTCATACTCAGCAGAACACTCACAAATCTTAACATTAGACCAAGATCTTAATGAACAACTATAATTTTTGTAGCCCAGAATTATCAGATTTCGTACCAAGCAAAGCACGTACTTTGACATGATATTACGGAAAGCGGGACAGCTCTCATCAAATCAGGAAAGCGATTATCAAATCATAAATGCATCATACTCAGTTTTCAGAAATCAAAACTTATGGCAAAAACCTATATTCATGGTATAATACAGGACATCTAATCAGCACCAGTAACTATAGATTCATTATTGGCGCGAACAAACAGATTATTATTTAGTGATAAATCACAATCATAGCAAAAGATATACACAAATAACTTTAGGCCGATTTATCAGCAGAAGTATTCTCCGAATACTAGTCGTTTCCTTCAATGAAATTTCATAGATTATCACAGCGTCAAATTGACAACCTATGATACCTGAGTCGAATACTCTAAAACTACTCGAGTCCAGGCCCCCACATACCATCAACTCTATTCTGTGCCCAAGTATGATGCTGTGCACCAACCCTCGTTCCAGGCTATATTTGCCAATGAACTCACAACAGCCTATTTCCTCCTTAGTACATCGGCACCTACCAACACGAGCTTTTCAATAGGATACTGGTGCCCATCAAGATTAATCTGGCTCGATTCTAAGATGGTATCGCTCTCACCCTCAGAAATCAACGTCATTTTGCCCTTGCGTATTCAGTGTTCTAAAAAATTTAAAGAGAATCATTGAAATTCCTTGATCAGTTTCACCGGTCCCATTCACATTGTTCGAATCAAATGAGCTATTCTCTCTCCTCCTATCCCGAGCCATAGAATGAACGTAACATTACCTTTCACCTTCTCAACTCCACTTTACCTTAGCCGTTGCTCCACCATGTCAAATAACGGCAGTATATTGTACTATTCAATAACTGAAACCATATCCAAGGATTCAGTTTTGTACTCATCAGATCCCAATTGCAAACATTCCGGTCCTACTCAGAACCTTAAATCTTTTTCTATTCCCAGATACTCTTTCAACACTGATTTAAGCTCTCTAACTCTGTTCTACTCCAAAAGAAACATGCCTTCAAAATCTTTGGCATATTCTCTGTATAGCTTAGCTATTCACTCCCGTGTCCTCCACCCTCCATTTATCCCATACGAATAAATAGAAACAAAATATTTAGAACTTGCCCATACTACTTTTCAAACTTATCACAATAAGAATAAGCCCTCTCCCTCATTTCACCTTTGAACAGTACAAAGATGGCAGTGTTGAAGCTAGTCTATGAGATGCTACTTCAGCCCTTGAATAAGAATCAATTGGAAGAACTATAGGAATCTATCCATCTTTTAGAAATTTTGCTCTCGCGTCCCTTATATTAATTTTAGTCCAAGTAAAGACTGAACAATGAACCCAAGATAACCAAGTCGTTTGTCGCATAACCCCAGTTTCACCGCACCGGAGAAAAAGTAAAGCCTTACCTCGCTTTCTTCTCTTCAAGACATATTATAGTTGAATCCCCCCACCAACACAAGGGAATCCAAATTGTATGATATAGAATCCTCCCAACTTGCTTCTATTATCTATCCTTATCACCATAAACCACCCCCCCACCGCACAACCCTCGCAAACCATCTTCAGCCTTAAGCCCCCACCAATACACTGGCTAGACTAAAATAAACACAAAAAGTGACCCATTATCTTCCATAACACTAGCTATCACCGCTTCTGCCAATAGCCGGTCTGGAAACCAAATTCCAATCCTATCAGCAAGTCTGTAATGTTTTCTCAGCATAAAGATTTATTTTAGTCTACGAAGCACCAATAAACTCCCTTTGTGTTCCCAATTTGGTTCATAATAAATGCCGTCTCTCTTACGAGCACCCAGCATTCCACATAAAACTAAACATTATTAACAAGGGGAAAGAATCCCGCTGCATCAAACTTCCAGAAAAAAACACCTTGCTTTGCATTACAACCATCTCACCATATCCTCAACCCTTCCTTCATACTCCAATTTTCACTAATCGTCAACAAACTATCCAAAGAGACAGAAGCCAAATCCACTCTTACCTTATCTTCTAATTCAGGAGCTTCTGTAATGGCTCCCAATAGACAATTCCTTAGAAAAACACTTAAATTTTGCTTGATTGTCCTAGTTCAAACACCACCAGATTCAATCAGAGAAACTTCAGGTTTGTAATTAACAACTGTGACGGAATTTGATTAGGATCTTCCCTGTAGTACATCATCCAACTCACCCTGGGTGCTCCACGCATTCCCTTGTTTTTTTTTGAAGAAATGCACTCAGCTTAATATATAATAAAGATAAGGGAACCAAAAACAAGCTCAATAATAGATGATTTCCTTCATATACATTCTCCTAAAGTTTAACAAGAAGAGAAAGAGACTTTCACTAAATTTGTTCCAATGTTCATAGAAAAGATGTTAGTTAGCACAAAAATAACTTATCTCTATACCTTTTCCAATACATTTAAAAATGACATTACTCCCATTACTAAGGATTCATGTCTTTGTTCGATTCGCTGGGCTGTCACATTAATAAGCGGCACTTCCTAACGACACCAGTAGGAGAGTCAAGGATTAGATTTGACTTTGTGTAAGAACGTCAGGGTGTGACACACAACAAAGACTCGGTTCTAGAAAATTTATTAGGATAGACCTTCTTATAATTAAACGAATTGGTTTTTAATAGGAACAATGGAAAAAGGATATGTGCCGACCACGTATGATAAAGTTATGTATTTTGTGTGTATTATCCATACTAACCTGAACTTCTTGATTCCAATCCTTTTATTGCCTTTGCTGTAATGTTGAGAAGACAGTTGAATTAACCATCTTATTGCGTTCCCCTTTTCACCCCTTCGCAAATATCCAATTTCCTGTATTACATTTGTTAAAGATGACTGAGACCGAACCATTGGATACTTTTTGCATTCTGAAGAATTACCGAAACATAAAATCTATCCCTACTTCATATATGATCCTTACCACTTAGATCAGACAGTTCACCATAATTCTTCGTCTCCACCCACTGATTTCAACCTATGGTTGTTCATCCTCCAACTGATTGGAACCATAACCGACAAGCAGCAACCTTAGAATTAAATACTGTATTCCAAGCTTTAGTATTATTTGGTTTGCTGGTCAAAAATTAAAGCCCCGCCTCCCCGCCGCGCGACTTTTTTATTCGCGATGGGAGTTTTAACGAACTAAGATTCCGGGTAAATTTTGGAGGCAGAGGGTTTGTAGATAAGGGAAACTCCCAAATTTCCCCTCTTTGTGAGGACTTTATGTTGAGTACTGGTTTCTATAGGCGCACCCCCTATAGTAATTCCCTCTCCGATTCACGGAGAACTTTCCTATTAGGCTAGTGTCAATCAGATACGTTAGAATATATGTGTATCTGGACTATAGTAACAGAGTAGTTTGGGATTTGGAGAAATATAGATTGGTTTGTGACTTGGAAGTTTTATATTGTGAAACAATTGATTTAAAATAGACAATTTCACCATTAGCACTTAAAGCGAGCCATGGTGTGGTGGAATGATGGCCGTACCGATCAAACCATGTTTCCGTGTCCATCCCATCGTTTCCTGGTCACTTAGTAGAGAGGTAGTCGACCAACCTGAAGAAGACCTTTCGCAGCATGGGTTGCTTCGTCCAAGGACTGTACGGACGACACTGTTTGTCAAAGGGGACAATTGAATTCACCTTAGCGACAGAGAGCTTGCCTACTCCTTATCTATTATCCTTTGATCATGATCTCAAGATTTACGCCATTAAACGGGCGATTGCTCTGGCCATACCGCTAGCTTGTCCATTTGGCAGCACCACACGGCATTACAGGGCCCGCGTGGTATTAATCGTTACCTGTAGTCCATTCGCCAGAAATGTCCGTTTGAGGAACTACCACCCTTACTGCAAGAGATGTTTGAAAGATCCTAGTGATATTTTCGACAGGCATTTCGCTCCTTTGTGCGCTGAAGTAATTTAATTGTCCATACCGACACTGTTGCGGAGGGGAAGAATTTGCTTTATTTTTGTTGATTTATTTCAATTTTTAATATTTATTTTGAATTTTGAGCATTTGATTTATGGAAAATCATTGATTTTGTGATTTGAGTGTTGGAAATCGTATTAGGCGGGGTGTATTTCCGAAAATTTGAAAATATTCTCTCGATCCTCCGATTGACATCGCATCACACAGCCATCATCGGAGTTATCAAGGTATACGTTGTTTATCAATTTAACATGCTTGAACCCTGTCCTCTAGTTCTATCCGTTGATCGACATCGGAGATGGCGTTTAGTCCAAGTTTGAATTGCCCATGATAGGACATTTGAACAAAGGATTATGATTCTCTTTCATATGGCTTATTTTTATAGCCTTGACAGATTTCAAGAATTCCCGTCCTAATCTTGATATTTGAGTTTCTAACATAGGATATATCCAGCACGCTCCTGCACTATAACCTCCCTTCTAATATTGTTATTAGGCTATTCTCTTTCCTGGCGGGATCCGTCTCGTCTCGGGTCGGGTCGTGACATTACTTGTGGTTCGGCTCGACCATTGCTCATTCGTAGAATCGTTTGATTAAATATTAGACAAAGTTGAACATTTTTTTAAATATTTTGTGATTAAATAAATAAGCTTGAGCAACTATGCATTCGACTCATTTATGCTAATTTATGAACAACATCGTTTGAAACTCTTGAACATGCTCGATAAGAAGCTCTTTAAAAAGATCGTTGACAAACTCAATTCTTGTTTGATACGAAACTTGTGAGAAACTCATTTAATATTATATATAAATATTGATTATGTCTTATTCATGATCAAAATATATTTATTAATGTTTGATAGACTATTTGATTTTAGGGTTCATTAAAAATCTCTTTTATTAAAAGTATCATTTATGAGATTGACAAGCTAATTGTTTATGGGTTGGAGAAAGCTCAATAAACTTGCTTGTTTATGGGCTCAAAAAAACTTGATAAATATGTTCATTAACATGCTCGATATAAATGCTTTTTTAGTAATCTCAATAACATTCATTTGTTAAGCTAATCTTCATCTAGATAAGGCGCATTGTTTAATAGTTTGATAATGCTCGTTTGTTAATCTAAAAGAGCCACTTGTTTAAATATTGATAAGTACTAAACAACCAAACATGAACTGAACATAAATAGATGTCATTTTAAACTAACCAAATTTAAACATAAATGTAAAAGCTCAAATCGAGCTCGAATAAGCTATTAATAAATGAGCTCAAATATGGACTAAACTAGGTTCATTTTTAGCTTTAAAAAAAATGAAGAAGCCCTTATGAAAATAGATGACATACAAACAATGAAGGGAGCACAAATAACCATTCCATAGATAAGATAAGCCAACCATCTGCATTGTGAAACCACGACCACATAAATACCCATAGAGAACGCCACCAACATCCCTCCTAGTGCTACATGTAGGCAACGTGAAAGTAGCTACAAATGTAACTGTTGCAAAGAGTACTGCCACTATTGCCAGTTTATTTGCCATTGCTTTATGTCTATCAAGCTCTTCTTATGGAAAACCTTGATCCTCAAACATCACAATGTCCATTCGGCGAGGGCCAAACTTGGCGTCAACTAAGTTCAAGTCTCTGATCATCAAACTCTGCAAATGGACATTTAAACAGTTCATCATAAAGAGCTTGAGTTGTTGCTAAAAGCTTCAGCTTCATTTGCTTAAAATAATTACTTTAATTCATTTGTTGATATGAAGCCATACGTACCCTCTTGAAGTGAAATTTGGAGTCCTCAATTGATGAAGCTACATCAAGGGGAGTGAGACCCTTGCAGTTTAGAACATTTTCATCGACTTTGCTATCTAACAGCAAAAGCCGAGCAATTTCAACGTTGTGGCCCATTACAGCCATATGCAATGGTGTGTTTCCCTCATGATCTGTCTCACTTATGCTCTGTCTGAGCAGAGGGTTACTAAGAACTAGTCTCACCACTGCTGTCGCTCCCTTCTTTATAGCAACATGAAGAAAATTGTTGCCATCACCATCAGTGAGCTCAGTGGCATCTGGGCAATGGTGAAGTATCTCCTCAATAACTGCCGTATAGTCCTTTCTTGCTGCTATGTGGATGGCTGAGAGGCCCTTGTCGTCCAAGAGATGAGCTATTGTAGCGTTTGCTTGTAGTAGAAGACGCACCATGTTTACATTTCCAAGGGAAGCTACATAGTGAATGGGGGTGCTTTGGGAGGCATCTGCTTGTAGGTTTAGTAATGGCATTTTTTCCAGTAGCACCTTCGCAATATCTGAAGACCGACCCGACCTTACAGGAGTTAGCTACCACGACATACAAAAAAAGGTAAATCTTTTACCTTTTAGTTTTGCTTCGACATCTCCACAATATTTGAAGACTTTAAAATCTTTTTTTGATTAGTTTATACTTGTAGTATGTTTTTTTAGATCGATCTAAATTTATGTCTTCATCTTTTAAGTCAAATCCTCATTACAGGTGGAAAAAAAAAAAGGAATTGTGGAGAGCTTCTTATACAAATTTATATTAGTAGTATAAAATAAATGATAAAAATTTTGATTTAAAAAAATAAAATCATAGAAGTCCTGATATCTGGCATTACATTATAATTATTTCATAGTTACTATATAAACTCCTGACAAAATAGGGCACTTGAAGGAAGCTATAAAAACATAACTCAAAGTGAGAGATTCGATGTTCCTTAAGAGAATTCTATGTAATAGCTTGGTGAATATGTGAATTTATGAGTCTCTCCGGCAAATTTTGTAGGGCAATGCTGAGGAAAGTTGATTTTTAGGTGATTTTATAAGAACGAATTTGAGTGACTTGTTGGTTTGAATGATTTCAAGTTAAGTGAGTTTTGGGCTATAGGCAACCAAGTTAGCCTATAATCAATGACTTGTTGAATATGATTCAAATTCCATAATGACATAATTAATTTGTTGAATAAATAAATTAAAGAATAAAAAATAATTATATAATTTTTTTATTAGTGGGGGCCTGTGGGGCCCCCACAAGCCCGCCTTAGATCTGCCCCTATCAGTCATTGAATTTCAAGTAAATTTCTCTTTTGCGTATATTTTATTTATTTTTATAAATTTATAAATTATAATAGCGATTTGATCCTACAAAATACAAGTAGTCTTAAAATGATTTAATTGTAAATTGTATTGAACTTATATAGAAATGGGATATTGTGGCGATTACCATAGCTTCGACAGACAGCAGCATGCAGAGCAGTTTGCCCTCGAGGTCCTCTATAATCCACCATCGCGCATTCGAGCAACATTTTCACAATCTCCACTGAGCCCCTCACCGCTGCTAGATAAAGCGGTGACTCTCCATCTCTATTAACCATCGAGGCCATATTCTCTCCAATAACTAAAAGCTGTAGGACAACTTTGGCATGGCCGCCGCGTGCAGCTTCGTGCAGAGCACTATCCCCGCGCTGGTTCAGCACTTTCGTCATTTGCTTTCCTGCTTGATGATCGATAAGCAATGATAGGATGTGGTCATGCCCTGCACGGGCGGCGCAGTGGAGGATCGTGTCGCCTTTTAAGTTCTGGTGCAGTAGGAGGCCCAATTCAGGGAGATTGCATGCCTCGGTGATGGGCCAGACTTTACCGAGACTTGCGGCGATGTGGAGTATGCTGTTTCCTTTAATGGTCATACCATAGAATCGTGTTCGATCATCCTGGAGCAGCACACGGAGGCGGGTCATGTTGCCCTCTCTCAGGGCCAAGAGGCAGCTTGGGTGCATTTTCGTGGCCATATGAGTATATATATATATATATATATATATATAGCCTCTCATCTCCATGGACCTGCATAGAGAGATTAGTCGGAAGGACAGAGAAGACGAAGCTACAGGGATTTGGCTGAGAATTCAAACTCATAATATTACTGTAGCAACACTAGTCTTTAACTACAGCAGTGAGAGGGGAATAGCGAAAAGCCTAAACTATCCTTGACAGTTACATCTAACGGTCAGGGAACAACAGCTGCAGTAACTGCTGGAGAAGCGGCTGTAGAGTAGAAAGAGGAACGCGGTTCGTGCTCAGAGGTAGTGGAATATACTGAGTGCTTTTCACCGTCCCTCAAGTTAATGGGCGGAACGACCATTAACTTGGTGCGAAGTATATTGAACTTAGAGTAATGCAGAGGCTTAGTAAGCAGGTCTGCAATTTGATCTTCGCTTGCAACGTGATGAACCGTAATGTGCTTAGCTTGAATGCTATCCCGAAGAAAATGATGGTCGATTTCGATGTGTTTGGTACGAGCATGAAAAATTGGATGTTGAGCTATCGAAAGAGCCGAAACACTGTCGCAGAAGATGGAGGATGGTGGCAATGTAATGTCGAAATCTGCACAGAGTCGGCGTATCCAAATTAAATCGGCGGCGGCAGCTGCAAGCGATCGATATTCAGACTCAGTAGAGGACCTAGCAACAGTTGATTGTTTTTTTACAGTCAAGGCAATCAGTGCTTTGCCAAGAAAAGTGCAGTATCCGCTCGTAGACTTGCGAACAACTGTGTCTCCAGCCCAATCAGAATCAGCAAAGGCAGTGAGAACGAGATCTGTTTTTGAAATAAACAGAGCATAGTGGAGAGTCCCTTTTAAGTAGCGTAAGACACGTTTGGCCAATTGAAAGTGGAGAATTAGAGGCGAGTGCATCTGTTGGCAAAGCTTATTGACGGCAAAGGCGATGTCCGGCCGGATAGACGACAAATACTGTAAGGAGCCTACAAGTTGCCGGAACAGTGCTGGTTGTGCAAACGGCAGAAGAAGGGAGGGATCGGTGGGTAGTTTAGTGGGTAGTGGTGTTTGAATGGGGTTGCAATTGGTCATGGAAGCCATATGGAGTAAGTCTTGTATATAGTGTGTTTGAGAGAGATGGAAGCCGACAGAGGATCGGTGGAAGGTAATGCCGAGAAATGACGAGAGGGTACCAAGATTTCTGATTTGGAATTTCTGATGAAGCTGGGAGATGAGGGAAGAGATAAAGGTGGGATTGTTACCGGTGAGAAGGATATCATCGACGTAAATTAAGATGTAGATTTTTATAGAGTTTTGAGAGAGTATTAAGAAAGATGGGTCGGCTGAGCTAACATGGAAGTTTTGAGTAAGAAGATAGTTTGTTAAGGTGGAAAACCATAATCTAGGAGATTGTTTGAGGCCATAAATGGATTTGTTTAAGAGACAAACGTGATTGGGAAAATGTTTTTCGAGGAAGCCTTGAGGTTGAGCCATGCAAATGGTTTCGTCAATCTTGCCATGAAGGAAAGCATTGACGACGTCGAGTTGGAAAACTGGCCAGTTGAAATGTAAGGCAACAGTGAGGAAGATACGAATAGTGGGAAATTTGACAACGGGACTAAATGTTTCATGGAAATCAATCCCATATTCTTGCTGATAGCCTTGAGCTACTAAGCGGGCTTTATGCTGAGCTATGGAGCCATCAGCATTGCGCTTGATTTTGTATATCCATTTGCAACCAATCACCTATTGATTGGTAGGAGGTGGCACAAGCGACTAGGTGTTCTGAGCGGTGAGCGCATTGAATTCGGTCGACATGGCATGCCGCCAGTGAGGAGATTTATTTGCGATGGTGTAAGAGGTAGGGGGTGTATCAACGATGTGTGAGAGATTTAGGATTTGACATGGTTTTAAGGAACCAGTTTGAAACCTTGTAACCATATGATGAGTAGGTATTGTCGAGGCAGGGGTGGAGGTAACGCTGTTGGTGGAGGGAAGAGATGAGGAGGAGGAAGTAGTATGGGTGTTATTTGTTGGGAGGGATGGGGTTTGTGGTTGATGAGGGAAAGAAGCTGAGGGGGGAAAAGATTCATGTCTGGTGGTGAAGGGTAATGTGGAGATGGGTAGAAATGGTGGTATGGGAGTGGTAGTAGATGCGCTCGGGTTAGTGGATTGAAAGGTAGGAATAGAGGGAAAGGTGTGTTCATCGAAAGACACATGGCGAGAGATATATAGTCTTCCGGTGATGGGATCGTAGCATTTGTGGCCTTTTGGTGTAGAGGCGTAGCCGAAAAAGAGGCAGGGTATAGAGCGGGCAGCAAGCTTATGTGGTGAGTAAGGTCGAAGCCAAGGATAGCAGCGGCAGCCAAAAATTCTAAGGTGGTTGTAATTCGGTTTCAACTTGTAGAGCAGTTCAAAGGGAGAAATTTTGGGACTGTGGGAGGAAGGTAAACGGTTTATAAGGTACAAAGATGTAAGTAGAGCTTTGGACCAGAGAGTAGGGGGGAGATGCGCGTCTATTAGCAATGTGCGAGCTGTTTCGACGAGATGGCGGTGTTTGCGCTCGGCAACACCGTTTTGTTGGGGTGTATGAGGACAGGTGAGCTGATGAGTAATGTCGGACGAAGCGAAAAACTGTTTTAAATTATTATTAACGAACTCTGTTCCGCCGTCGGAGCGAACAGTGCGAACAGAGCAGTTAAACTATTTTTCAGTTTGACGAATAAAATAAATGAGAGCTTGAGGTACATCAGATTTCAATTTTAAGCAACATATCCAGGAGAAACAAGTAAAGTCATCCACAATTAAGAGATAATAACGATATCCATTGTAGGAAAGGACCGGTGAAGGGCCCCAAACATCTATATGAAGAAGTTCTAACGCAGAAGTACATACATGGTGAGAGGGGGAGAAAGGGATTCTGTGACTTTTAGCAAGTTCACAGGAAGTACATAGAGAACTAGTAGATTTAATACATAAAGCAGGACATTGTTTTGAGAGAGACAGCAGAACTTTGGAATGTGGGTGGCCGAGACGACGATGCCAGGTTGTAGCAGAAGAGCTGGAACGGACAGTAGCAGTATACGCAGATGTGGAAGGAGTAGTTGAGGTGGTAGACAAGGGATAGAGACCATTACGGCACGGTCCACTGAGAAGAGTTCTGTTGGTCTTCAGATCCTTGATGTGAAACCCGAATTTATCAAAAAGAATAGAGCAGTTATTATCGTTAATGAGTTTAGACAAGGAAAGCAGTTTATGAGTTAAGTGGGGAACATGTAGTAAGGGATTAAGAACAAGCTTACGAGTTGGAGTGCGTAGGAGTCCATTGCCGAGATTGTGTATGGGTAGAGGTGTGCCGTTGCCAACCAACACATGGTCCTTACCTGTATAAGGCTGCTGAAAGGGAAGCGGATCCGGGGACAAATGAGAGGTAGCTCCACTGTCAAGATACCAAGGTGTAGAGTCTGCTGAGGAGTTGTTAGCTAGCAGTTCGACATCAGAAGCAGTTGTAGGAGAGGAATATTGGAAATCTCCTCGATGCCAGCATGTGACAGCTGAATGACCTATTTTGCCACAGATTTGGCATTGTCCATCGTAGCGTGGTGGTCAGGAATTGCGAGAGAAGGTGGAGCTACGACCACAACCGCGAGAGGCGTTTGAACGTCCTCTGCCTCGTCCACGAGGAGCGTAAAGAGCAACGGCTGAATCGGAGGTTGAAGCGAGAGATAGTTCCTTGACTGCATCAGTCGTCTGATGAACCTCTTCACTCTGAAGCAGGGAATAGAGATTGTCTAAGCTGATCGGATGAAGTGAGGATCGAATAAACGTCTTAAATGACTGATAAGCAGGGGGTAGTCCATTAAGGATGTAGTGCAGAACATCTTCACTTTCAACAGATCCACCGGCAGCACTGATGTTGTCAACAACAACTTTTACAGATGTTAGGTACTCGGTCATTGTTTTGTTCTGCATTGACAAGGAGTGCAACTCATTTTTTAATTAAATTACACGGGACCGATTTGTAGAATAGAAACGTTGATCAAGTGTATGCCAGATGGATGCCGTGGTTTCAAGGTTTAACACATAGGGTAAAATGGAAGCAGAAATAGTCGAGAAGAGAGCGACAGAAAGATTTTGATCAACGAGAGTCCAGGAAGAAAACTGGGGATTCAGAGTAAGCTGGCCTGTTGCAGTTAAAAGATGCTTGGGTGGCGCGGGTTGAGTTCCGTCAAGATAACCGGAGAAGTTGTTGGCTGCGAACAACTTATGGATTGCCGACCGCCACGTTGGGTAGTTGTCTGGTAACAACTGAATGTGTATGACATTCTTAATATTGGAGAGAAGAAACTTAAGGGTGGGTGGAATGAGAACTTCGGTGTTGGCCTGATTTTCATGGGTGATCACCGGAGGTGTGGAAGAAGCAGAAGCCGCCGTGGAATCTCCCATTTAAAAAGAGATGAAGAGCCGTTAGGAATTGTCGCTCTGATAACATGAAAAGCCAAAGCCTCTCATCTCCATGGACCTGCACAGAGAGATTAGTCGGAAGAACAGAGAAGGCGAAGCTACAGGGATTTGGCTGAGAATTCAAACTCATAATATTACTGTAGCAACACTAGTCTTTAAATACAGCAGTGAGAGGAATGAATACAAAATCGATAGAAATTTGTGAATAGAGTACTGATTTTCGATGAAAGGAGAAATTAGATAATGAAATTTCGGACAATTAATTTCCATAGTTACTCTTTAAGTTAATTTAAATTTAAAATTGACTCCTTTTTATAAATGATTATTTTTGTGCATAATTGTACGGGATAATGTCTAATTAATTGTAATATTAAAAAATAGGCGGCTGTACGGTTTCCATTGAACCCGTGAAAGCAATTTCCAGTTGCTTAAGAAATGAGTATTCCTTTCTTAAGAAACCCATCCAACTTTTGCTCGAGCCATCCCGCACAGGTCTGCCTG